GTTTGCAGTATTTCGTATAGCGTTGTTTTTTTTTTTTTTAATAATCCGGACATGTACAACCATCCGGACCGGGATCCAGACAGGTCGATCCGGACATGTCTGGATTAACCGGAAAATATCGAAAATTCGGACGTTTGGATGAAATCGGGAAATCCGGTTTCCGGTGTTCGGACTTGTCGCATTCACTTGCCCGCCGTTGCCATGCATAATATACATGACAAACGTTAAACCAACTTAAACGTAACATAACATGACATAATATGACATCGTATAACATAGCATAACATTATATAACCCTCCATAATCATCACTGTAGACGAATATGAACCCTACTCTGGACCAACACAACCATCAGGATGTTGAGGCACTATATTCGGGATAAGATTTGAAGGCAAACAAGGTTGGAGTCTTTGAGTGAACATGGGAATGATGCTGATTGGGTCAGGATGTATTTGTAGTTTCACAAATGATATTGAGTTTCCAGTCTCTTTACGTTGAACTGAACAAGTTACTAGTATACTTTTGATAGTTAGTAATTAGTCCTTACTGGCTATATGTATATTACCCGCAACCATGAGATCCGCAATTTTTTTCTTTTCTTTTTTTCCTCCAAATAAATGCTAATAATCATAACATGTCAAAATTGATACTCGGCACATAAAGTCTTCAAGGATCTTACTGACAAATCAAAATATATTTTGGTTTCCTGCGGATCGCCCTCTAGTTTAATTTCATTTTTAGTTATTCTCTCTTTGATAACAAACACGATTTAACATAATCAAGTCGAAATAAAATAACGCCAGGATGATAATGAGTTTCCAATCTCTTGACGTTGAACTTAATAAGTTACTAGTATATAATTTTGATAGTTACTAACAAGTATTAACGCACTACACTTATATAACCCGCAACCATGAGATCCATAACTTTTTAATTTGTTTTTGTTTTCCTCCAAATTGATACTAGCTATAACTAACAATCATAACATGCCAAAATTGGTACTCCTGAGGATCCTACTGACAAATCAAAATGTCTTTTGGTTTCCGGCGGATTGCCTTCTAGTTTAATTTCGTTTTTGGTCATTCTCTCTTCGATAACAAGCACGATTTAAGGTAATCAAGTCAAATAAATAAAATAACACTTTAGTTATAAGTATATATGTAACCACAATATTGCTGTTTTTCCTTTTTTTTAATATGACAAACGAGAGGATATGGTTTGTTGGGAGCTTTATTTTTCACAGGGGATAGGTTTATCCCCTTGTTAGGGGATTGAGGCTGATTTGACCTCTGCTGAACCTTTGTTCAGATGTACTCAACTTTGATCACTGGGCCCCTGTAATGGAAATTTGGTTTAAGGGAAAAAAGAAAAAAAAGAGTTTCGTCATCACTCTCAAGTTGGTATCAACTTCTACCAAAACAATATATGTGCAGTGTTGGGATCATCGGCTACGAGTAATAATCCCTTTTTTTTTTTTTTTCAGCGCATAAATGTGACACTATCCCGAGTCCAAATCCCAGCCCCTACCCCCATGATTGATGTCCCCTCACAGAATTGAGGGATCATGATGGCGGGTCAAATGGGATTCCTAAAAAGAGGTGACAGGTCAAACTCGGTCCCCTGTTCGTGGGGGGCCATAGCATTTGACCCACCGTGATGATCATACAGGAAACGAAACACTGCCAGTTTGTCGCATATTCCTACTTGGTAGAAAGGCAACGTTCTGTAGGCAACAAAACAAGAGGAAACAACAAAGGTGTTGAGGAACTATGATGTGGCATGTTGCAGAAGCTTGCCCTTCTTTAAGTGGCATGTGTTTCTTTCTCCTACAATGTTCCACAAACATTTAAAAAAAAAAAAAAAAAAAAGGGCGACAGCCTGGAGATACCATTATGGAATTTGACCAACCCTAGGGGCCAGGGGGCAGGGGGCAGAAGGCAGGGGGCAGGGCGGGGGGGGGTGAAAGTCTGCAATTTTTATTATGTATCATAAGCACAGTATTCGAACTCTCTTTCTTCTTGGGGGTTGGCAACTTAGCAACTTAGCACGTCATTTCTTTTTTTTATCATGTGCACATCAGCATGGCATTCGAACTTGTATGTTATAAATTTTAATACCTAACCTTGTCAACAGGTTGCATGTGTACACCATTCACACCACCAGACTGAATGTACTTGGCTTCCATATGCTTATACAGTGCTATACACATGCAACTGTTTGCAATATGTAGTGTACAGTAACCCCTGTACATCAAACCCATGTGTCACTAAAGTGTAAGATATCAACTGTGTCCGAGGTGAGGTGAGGCAAGGTGGAGCGAGGGTGACGGCGAGGGCGAGGGTGAGGACGAGGGGGAGGGTGAGGGCAAGGGTGAGGGCAAGGGTGAGGTGAGGCGAGGCAAGGCAGGGTGCGGCGCAGTGCGAGACAAGGCAGGGTGCTGCGCGGTGGGGCGGGGTGGGGTGTGGGCAGGCAGGCCAGGGCCGGGTGGACGGGGCAAGGGCTGTCTCTTATACACATCTAGATGTGT